AATTGCTTGAAACTTGCAGGGAAGATGCCTGAAGGTCCCTAGAGCACATTCCAACTGGAATTTGGGACAGATTGGGCACTTAAGAGAAAGATTGCGCCGATAATTTGGGTCAAAATTAGTGAAAAGTATTCATTTTTTTTCAAGGCTAACCCCTTGCAATTTTTTTTCAGTTTTGACTGAAAAAAGAAACACTGTGCGGACTTCCGAACAAAAGTTGTCTACATCAACCAGGTAGCAGCGACGTTGTGTGGACTTGCCCACGTCCACACAGTGTTTCCCCCTCTCTGGAAAACAGTTTTAGAGGCATTTTTGGGTTAGGTTTATCGGTGGCAAAATGAAAAGAAACACTATTATTTAAAAGGGGAACCATAGAGAGAAAAAATTAGGTTGAAATAGTTTTCATAGTGTGAGTAAAATGATTTTTTTTCACAGGTTTTTCTTAACTACACACAAGGAATGTCCAGAATCAGATGTAACGTTAACATGTATGATTTTGTTTATGGTGTAAATTGAGGACACACACGTGCAACATCATCGGTGAATCGAGGACAGGAATCAAATCGAGGACGACCTCGATTAGAAAACGTGTGCAAAACCAATGAGAGCTGTTGCGAAAAAGTTAAGGATTTCAAAATATATCTGAAGAAGTGTGTCTGGGTTTGCACAAAACAATTTACATATGAAGTGCTGTTAAAGCACAAAACCACTTTTTGTCTCGGAAACAGTTATAGGGATATTTTCAAGACTGCCAACTCCGAAAGAACAAGATCTGCAATTTTTTAAAATATTGCCACATCATGGCTGGTGAAAGTCCACAATCATGACAATCAAAAGCATTGGAGCACCATCTCCCAAAAGTGCAGTGATCAATTTTGAACTGCGAGCTGTCAGGTTGTCTAGACGATTTCCATTTCAATTATACTCATCAATCACGAGAATGTCTTTTTGAGTGGAAAAAGTGCACTTAAGAGTGCAATTACGAGGTAATTTAGTGTTAGACAGAAACGGTGATATTAAAAATGACATTGGGGAAACAAGAGTATGTTCAAATCAGGCACATATTGGCAACAGTGAAAATTGAGGTTTTCTTATTTTGTTGGTGGTCCCAATGAGCCAGTCGAAGACTTTATTCAAGCGTCGGCCATATTGAATTGAAAGCAAGGTAAAGTTTTCATTTGTGGAACCTGTGAGTAGAAACGAAAGCAGTGAAATAAAAAAAATGTTAATTACAAATTAATACCAGTCTGCTCTGATGAAGAACGATTTTTGAAAGTTTGTGATTAAAGGGAATGTACATCATTGGCTTTTGCTGTAATTTTCAGCAATGGAGTATTTGAGGGGTTAGAATAATATATCAAATATTGTTACACTGACATGTTTGAAGTTTTATGTTCGAAAATGCTGGAAAAACCAAGAAAAACAAAATTGTTCAAGTAGTCTGGTTCCCTGACTCCACTAAAATGAAATGGATCAATTTATAGTTGCCAGAAAATTGTAAGGTAAGGGAACCAGTCTAGCTGGCCTGCACCCGTTCATGAACATGTAACCAATACCTATCAAAATTTGGACTGAAAAAAGGTAAATTTGGAGCAGTAGTTGAAATATAGTTAGGTTTTTCCGGCCGACCACCGTTGGAAATGTATACAAAAATACCATTTTCCTGAAAATGACTTCACACCAGGTGCCATAATTTTACAGGATGCTTTAGACTGTCATTTACCAACATCCTAGTAAGGTATTTCTTAAAAACTTGGTAGTTTTATTTTTTTGATGTTTGCAAATGTTGTATATTCCCTTTAAATCAGCCACTTTTCAAACAAGAATTTGAAAGTGAGGCATGGTTCGCATTCCGATCATAAAATAGTCGGGCTCCATCCCTTTCGACAGTTTACAATTTATAAAATAGATTCAGGGAACACGATCGAAATGGCTTCCTCGGGAGTCCGGTCTATAACTCCTGAATTAGACCTGCAGTTGTCCTTCAAGGGTGACTACGAATAGCACACTACCTACCCAACAAATAACAAACAGCTAGAACGCATTCACAATGATACTTGAATGGCAAACTGTAAAGTGGTCAAGGTAACGGGGACAGGAAATCTCACACTTTGGACGCTGAATTTATTGAATGACCCATTTACCAAAGCAAACGTGAGCTCAGAGATTGCTTTTCCAGTGATATGTCAAGTGAAATCGTAACCACATTTATAAAAAAAAATTCAAAAGAAGATCCGAGATGAAACTTGAGACAAATATAAACACAAGCACACTGATAAAAAGTGCTATTTTAATAATGCATCTTTATTTGATGGGATTCAATGCATATAATTGTGACGTTTTACAGCTTTTTTGTGATGTACATTTTCACATAATTTTCTTTTAATGTATTCTTTCAGTGCTGCAGTGCTGCAGCCAGATAAAACAACTCAAGTCCTTTGCCTACCTCAATTCATGAGTGCTTATTTGGTGCACATGGTTGTTGCACAGTGGGCATTTTTCGGGAAAGCTCTTAAAATGCTGACAGTTTTGACACAGGAGAAGCTAATACAATCTCACTAGGTTTCCTGCAAAGCGGATTGGTTGTAAAACAGTGGGGACTGGAAGTAACCGGGGATTGGAAGTAACGCCCCCCCCCGCCCCCTGATAACAAAAGGGAGGCTTGGGGGGGGGGGGGGGTGGAAGGAGTAGCAGCACAACTGATCAAGGTGTTGAATGAATGTGTACTCTGCACCCGCCCTGCCTGCGCATGGCTCGCTGTATGTTATCAGCAAGGCCATCCCGCAAATTAAATTTGTGGGGGAACAAAATTTGGTACCCACCCCACCCCAAAAAATATGCACCACTGGTTGTAAAGATCAAAAGTGCTGTTCCACTAGGCTAGCACCTTCATTGCAATTGATTTAGGGGCGGAATGGAGAGGGGGGGGGGGGGTTAAAGCTTGGATGAGTAATTATATGTTAAAAGGGATTATTTGTAACAGCTGGAGTAGCCTTGGTCAAGGCGTTCAACGACAGTACCAAATGATCGATGGTTTGCTGCTAACATAAACAGTAGCCATGTGCTATGCACTCACATGTTCTGTGTACGAAGTGCAAGCACCAGCGTCGCATGCAGCGGCTACAATATGGAAGTCCGTTGGCGCTGGTGGAACGCGTTGGCACAACGGTTGTGTTGGCCTATCTGGTTGGGGCAATTTTGGTCATTTTGTTGCTAGATTTACATCCAGTTATATTTTGTCTGCGGACTCCAAACGTTTTGGAGAATGTTGCCACACTATCCCACTCCAGTGTTGGAGCAAAGGCTTTGACCCTCAAGGCCAAGGCCAAGGCCAAGGCTTTGACCCTCAAGGCCAAGGCCAAGGCCAAGGCTTTGACCCTCAAGCCTCGAGGCCAAGGCCAAGGCTTAACCCTCAAGGCCAAGGCCAAGGCCCTGTTTTATGAAATGACCACTGATATAGAACTAATTATAGTCACATGAGTGACACATCATCATGCAAGGGCGGATCCAGAACACAATTTGGGGGGGGGGGGCAAAGAAATTTTGGTCCCCCCCCAAAAAAGTGGGTCTAAAAATTACGGCTTGGGCTTCGGGGCCCGCTTAAGGGCCCCGAAAATTTTTTGGATTCGAGATGCTCTGTGGTGCGATTTGAGGCAATTTCTGACCATTTTAACTGATGTTTTTTTGAGGAAAAGATGGTGGTGTACTCATTGCCTGCCTTTATTACGACGTCACATAAACAAAAATGGTTTCGTTTTTTGGGGGGGGGGGGGGGGCCATGGCCCCTTTTGGCCCCCCTGGATCCGCCCTTATCATCACGAATTGCTCGTTACGAAGAACAACATTTCTTTAATTGCAATCAACATGCTCGCATAGGCCTACACCGTTTTATGACTGCACTGTATCTATTAAAGTATAAGTTCAGGTCTTCAATATGGTTTAACTAAACAAAATAATGATTTACTTCTATATTGACACGCAATTCTCCCAAGTGTAACAAAAGGGGATCCAAGAAACTGATTTGGGAAATGTTTATTTGCTGGCCCAACATGGTCAGAAATATCAGCATTATCTAAAACAGATACATGCAAATCTATAGCACTTATCAGGGAGACAGATCTATTCCATAGTTTTATGCAATTAAAGTGATCATCTCATTAGCCCCACAAGTGTACGGAATATTGTTGCAGCAAATCTACTACAATGGTAACAACATGTGATGCTATAAAAGTGGAAGTGTGCCCAACACACAAATCTATATGGTGCTTCCCTCCTCCATCGTAATACGATTAAAATGGTAACAGCAAAATTTCGAACAGATTTATCTGGAAAATGCAAATATCTATGGGCCTTGAAGAGCCTTGACTCAAAATTGCAAGGCCCTGAACCCTCAAGGCCAAGGCCAAGGCCAAGGCTTTTGCCCTCAAGCCTCGAGGCCAAGGCCAAGGCCCTAAAATCCAGCCTTAAGGCAGCCTTAAGGCCAAGGCCCAGCATCAAGGCACTACATCACTGTCCCACTCTCTATCCATGTAAAATATGAACCTCCACAACCAAGTACTGAATAATAATCTCATCTTTATTAGCATACGAGGCCGTCGATGGCAATCCAGCGACAAAATATTTTTTTTTTAAAAGCCAAGGGGAACGGTTGTTCCAAGGCGTTGGACCAACACCAACAGAGGCCAAGTTCGCGCAAGGACTATAGTTGACCAATGGTTAACTAACGTTTGCCCGAACTCTGTCTAGTCGACGGTGGTTGACTACGCTAGTCGACTATTTGGAACCAGCCTACTTGGGTTGGTTGCTTCGCTGGCAACCAATAGCCGCGCGCATTCATAATGCTAGCAGAGAGCCAGGCAGAAGTTTTGGGATGACATTTTGACCAGCGTTTGACTAGAGACGTTCGCACGTTGCTATCAGTGCACAGGCGTAAGGTACGTCATAAATCAACCACTAGTCGACTAATGGTCCTTGCCTGAACTTGGCCAGATTTGCATATTGTAGCCTGGTCACGTGAGGTCACTGTTTCGTACAGTACGTGTGAGTGCATATAAATTAAGCGCATGGCTACGGGTAGCTTGACCAAGGCTGACGTAGTTTTAATTCTCACTCTGTACATGCTCAATCAAACAGTAAATCTGCAAATACCATGACGATCCTTTAGTATAAAAACTCTCATATTTGTGCTACCACAAAATTAGACACAACCTGCATGTACAAAAACAATGCTTTCAAATGTATAAATAAATACTGTATAGATTTTTTGTCTCGAGTTTTTTTCTCCTCACTTGAAGGAGAGGGAGAAGATGAGAGCATTTGGCGCTGTGATGTCAGCGACGACGAGTTCTTGTTTCTCTGCAAGTCCAAGCTCTGCCAAAAATAGTCAGAAAAAGAACCATCAGATTAAACAAACCAATAGTGTAATTTTGCATCGGGGAGATGAACAGGTAGTCTGAGTATCCCCCGTTGTCTAAGGAAGTCCTCTCTGACTCTGGTCTGATTTCATGCAAATTTATGCGCCCCACAAGCCAGCCAATCGGGGTTGACTTTACTAAAATCGTGACGTCATTTCATTCTGAAATCTGGACTAAGGTGCTGATTGGTCAATGTGAATGCCATGTTTTTGTAATACAACAACGGGCATTGAGAGATAATAAAACCATTGAATAAAACCCAGACACGACACTGGCTCTCAAAGCTGTCAGCAAAATGCTACGCGTGACACGCAAGAAGGCATTCGCATTGTACGCACGTTATTTGAAATATGTGATGATCATTCGAAGCCACAGGACGTAATTGGTGCATCGCTTGATATTTATCATCACAGGCTGCGTGACGCAGCCTCTTTGTGCTCAATTCACAATGTAAAAGCATAATAGATGTCGTGTCTGGGTTTCATTTACAGATGTTTATGACAACAGTCAGAATCTCGAGGTCAAGACGCCAGTCTAGTTGCATAATTAATTGCTGAATCTGCTCACATATCATAGCTGCTTGCTGTAAGCAAGGGTCTATTTAATAGAATAATGCACATGCAGGGTGTATCAGAAAAAAAGATAATCCAAAAATTATGGGAGAGTATGTTAAAATGATGGACTTGACCAATGTCAGTGTGGTTGTATCTTACAGGGTTCCACGCAACTCTGGAAATCAGGGAAAAACTTGAAAGTGAGTTTCCATTTTTCCAGTCAGGGAACAAAATCAAAAACAAAATCAAGGAAAATTCAGGGAATTTGACAGTGACCCAGAAGGGAAAGGTTTTTGCCAGCTTGGTGTCTGTGCATCTTGTGCCATGTGTCCACGTTGCGTCCATTGACTGACTGGCTATGGTGGCTTGTTAGTGTTTACGCAGTGTGAATATTACACACCTCTCCAGACAATAACAGTTGGCTGCGCTACACACCTCTTGACTTCCCAGCAAACTTAGGGAATTTGACAGTGACCACCCGGAAGGGAAAGGTTTGTTGCCAGTTTGGCATATGTGCTTTTTGTGCCATGTGTCCATGTTGTGTCCATGTTGTGTTCATTGACTGACTGGCTATGGTGGCTTTTTAGTGGTTATGCAGTATGAATATTACACACCTCTCCAGAGAATAACAAGTGGCTGTGTAACATGTACATGTACACACATTCTTGTTCCGTATTTGTGGGGACCGAAAATGCTATGGGGACAGCAGAAAGTCCCCATAACTCGGTCCTAATTTGCCTAACAATAAAAAACTTCCCCATAACGCGGTGTATGCATACCCCTACTGACTTCCCAGCAACCTTGTTCAAGTTAAAATATTTCTTGTGGAATTCCGGACATTTTTGCATGGAAATATCAAGGAAAACTCTGGGAAGTTTGTTTTCATAAAATTCTGGAAATGCTGAAGAAAGGCCGATGGGAAAACTGATAAACCACCCTTTCATATACATGTACAACCACATTAACCCCCCTACTATTTAAGAGGTCACAAACTGTCCAAATGTTTCTATCTCGCCTCCTGGCATACTGTGTACAAACCAATGGGGGTCTTGACCAATATTGACCCAAGTAAAAACCAGACAATGCATGTTTCCATAGGAGGGTTAAATGTCAGTTTGAAGCAAAAAATACATAAGAGTTTTGCAGAGCAGAGCAGAGGAGATAATTGATTACAAACCAACCTGTGAGTTTCTTGGGCAGATTTTCTTTAGTCCGCACGCGTATGGCTTCTGGATTTTGCATGTATAACGTCTTGTTCTTGCCGTTCACGATGGTGGTGATGCCCGGTGCCTTCATTTGTCTAAGCCAACCAAAAAAAAAAGCCACAAAAAACAACGGTTATTGTATACAGTGGTATATATATGCCCCGATTTCACTATCTTCCGAAGACACTTTTTTGCTTTGTTGGCAAATTTGTTTCTTTCAGACTTTCAATGGTTAAATATTACATTTATCTCTATGAAAACATTAAAAAACCCTCTCAAACGTATCGCTATTACGCAAAACATAACGTTGATGATGAGAAATTTGGCAACATTGCTTCACCTAGGTTTACCACGCCCATTGGGGTCAACTTGCAAATAAAGGTCACCCAGCTAGAGGGATGCCACGCAAAGCGCTACATTCAGCTAGTTAATTGAAAAGGCCTGAATTTCTTACAATCGAGGATAATATTATTAATACAATGTTGTAAACTTCTGTATTTTTTTGTGTAAAATACTCACAAGCTAGCGCTCTCCGTGAGGTGGTCGATCAAGTTCTGAAGGGTGGCATCTTCGGGCAGAGTTAGAACCTGAGGTACCTGACTACACGCTACACAGTCTTCCTATAGCAGAAATGAGATTGGCACCAAGACTCATGAGAAAAACAACTTACATCAGGGGTGTGTGTGACCACTGATAAAAACAGCTGAAAAAGGTGTAAAAACGCTGTGAACTTTGGAAATCTCCTATACTTTTGTACACAGCAAGTGAGGGGAAAAAGCTGAAATCCAAAACAGAAAAAAGCTGAAAGCAGCTTTAAAGCTGAGATTTCACACCCCTGTTAAAAATGCAGCATCAATACAGGCAGATCTGTTTTGTGTGAAACAAGTGTGAAACAACCCTAACTATGTAGTTGTCTTGTCAATTTGTGTGTCTGTTTGTTTGCTTGTCTGTTTGTCACCGTGTGTGGCTGTTTGTCTGTCTGGTTGTCTATCTGTTTGTTTTCCGTTTGTGTTTTCGTGAGAGGTTTTGTATTTTGTAGGTTTGATGTGTTTGTCTGATCTTTTGGTGTTTATTTTTGTGGTCAAGTAGCACAAGAAGACCAACAGGCTTTTTTGTTATCTTTTTTGTTATCTTGCAAAGCTGCTACTTGTGTTCGTGTGTTTTTTGGTTGTCGTCTTTCATTTAGCCTATATCCGATTTGAGGCAAATGGAATTGCAGCTTCAAATAATTTATCACCGCTGGACCGTTGACGGGGCTGGTTGGAAGGTTAGCCATTCCAGGTCACTCCCCTTGCGGCCACAATGATTTAAGTGCATGAACTAGTTCACTGTAATTGGACTGTAACTGAAAGTTCGAGCACACGGTCACTTTTGCTTGAGCAGCCGTGCGGTTAGGTTTGGCGAAAAAGTTTCGTCTTACTGAAAAAATCCCTCCTCCTCCCCGTTCGTAGCCACCTAATTGCACATATTCCGCATAATCATTGCCATGGTAAAAATGGATGTTTTCGTATTGCATGATATGTTTGCGTGATAATTTGCCGATTCTAGAGTGTTTGACGCAGTGATCATGAACTTGCAGTACTCGGTTGCCATATATTAGCGGAGCCAGAAAGGAATTTCCCCCCTTTTTTCCCTCTGTGGTTTTTGAGGGGGTTTTCGCCTTTCTTAGAATCGGCAATATCACCGACTGAGTTAAAGTTTGGCGGGAATTGCATTCCAAGACCGCAAATAGGCCTGAAGAGTTCAACTCATTACATTCAGTATCCAGTGAGAAAAGACAATTTTTAGATTTTCTACTGGATGCACCCAAAACTTCAATGTTTTCCATTGCCGGCATCATCGAATTTATCAAATTTGCGCAAAAGTTCACACGAGGTGCCTAGAGGCCAGAATTGAATTCCCTGAAGAGTTCAACTCATTACTTTCAGTATCCAGTGAGAAAAGAGAAATTTAAGATTTTTTAAAAAATGCCCCTAAAACTTCAACTTTTTCCATAGCCGGCATCATCGAAAAAGTCAGTTTTTGACCAAAAAATCCAACTTCACCAAAATTCCTTAAAAGTTCTCATGAGGTGCCTAGAGGCCAGAATTGAATTCCCTGAACAGTTCAACTCATTACATTCAGTATCCAGTGAGAAAAGAAACATTTTAGGGTTTTTACAAAATGCCCCCAAAACTTCAACGTTTTCCATAGCCGGCATCATCGAAAAAGTCAGTTTTTGACCCAAAAAATCTGACTTCACCAAATTTCCTAAAAAAGTTCACACGAGGTGCCTACAGGCCAGAATTAAATTCCCTGAAGAGTTCAACCCATTACTTTCAGTATCCAGTGTGAAAAGAAAAAATTTAGATTTTTTACTAAATGCCCCAAAAACTTCAACGTTTTCCACAGCCGGCATCATCGAAAAAGTCATTTTTGACCCCAAAATACAACTTCACCAAATTTCCTCAAAAGTTCACACGAGGTGCCTACAGGCCAGAATTGAATTCCCTGAAGAGTTCAACTCATTACATTCAGTATTCAGTGAGAAAAGAGAAATTTTAGATTTTTTACAAAATGCCCACAATACTGCAACGTTTTCCATAGCCGGCATCATCGAAAAAGCCAGTTTTTGACCCAAACAACTGACTTCACCAAATTTCCTCAAAAGTTCACATGAGGTGCCTAGAGGCCAGAATTGAATTCCCTGAAGAGTTCAACTCATTACATTCAGTATTCAGTGAGAAAAGAGAAATTTTAGATTTTTTACAAAATGCCCACAATACTGCAACGTTTTCCATAGCCGGCATCATCGAAAAAGCCAGTTTTTGACCCAAACAACTGACTTCACCAAATTTCCTCAAAAGTTCACATGAGGTGCCTAGAGGCCAGAATTGAATTCCCTGAAGAGTTTAACTCATTACATTCAGTATTCAGTGAGAAAAGAGAAATTTTACATTTTTTACAAAATGCCCCCAAAACTTCAACGTTTTCCATAGCCGGCATCATCGAAAAAGTCAGTTTTTGACCCAAAAATCTGACTTCACCAAATTTCCTCAAAAGTTCATACGAGATGCCTAGAGGCCAGAATTGAATTCCCTGAAGAGTTCAACTCATTACATTCAGAATCCAGTGAGAAAAGAAACATTTTAGATTTTTTACAAAATGCCCCCAAAACTTCAACGTTTTCCATAGCCGGCATCATCGAAAAAGTCAGTTTTTGACCCAAAAATCTGACTTCACCAAATTTCCTCAAAAGTTCCCACGAGATGCCTAGAGGACAGAATTGAAATCCCTGAAGAGTTCAACTCATTACATTCAGTATCCAGTGAGGAAAGAAACATTTTAGATTTTTTACAAAATGCCCCCAAAACTTTAACATTTTGTAGAGCCGGCATCATCGAAAAAGTCAGTTTTTGACCCAAAAATCTGACTTCACCAAATTTCCTCAAAAGTTCACACGAGATGCCTAGAGGCCAGAATTGAATACCCTGAAGAGTTCAACTCATTACATTCAGAATCCAGTGAGAAAAGAAACATTTTAGATTTTTTACAAATTGCCCCCAAAACTTCAACGTTTTCCATAGCCGGCATCATCGAAAAAGTCAGTTTTTGACCCAAAAATCTGACTTCACCAAATTTCCTCGAAAGTTCACATGAGGTGCCTAGAGGCCAGAATTGAATTCCCTGAAAAGTTCAACTCATTACATTCAGAATCCAGTGAGAAAAGAAACATTTTAGATTTTTTACAAAATGCCCCCAAAACTTCAACGTTTTCCATAGCCGGCATCATCGAAAAAGTCAGTTTTTGACCCAAAAATCTGACTTCACCAAATTTCCTCAAAAGTTCATACGAGATGCCTAGAGGCCAGAATTGAATTCCCTGAAGAGTTCAACCCAATACATTCAGAATCCAGTGAGAAAAGAAACATTTTAGATTTTTTACAAAATGCCCCCAAAACTTCAACGTTTTCCATAGCCGGCATCATCGAAAAAGTCAGTTTTTGACCCAAAAATCTGACTTCACCAAATTTCCTCAAAAGTTCACATGAGGTACCTAGAGGCCAGAATTGAATCCCTGAAGAGTTCAACTCATTACATTCAGAATCCAGTGAGAAAAGAAACATTTTAGGTTTTTTACGAAATGCCCCCAAAACTTCAATGTTTTCCATAGCCGGCATCATCGAAAAAGTCAGTTTTTGACCCAAAAATCTGACTTCACCAAATTTCCTCAAAAGTTCATACGAGATGCCTAGAGGCCAGAATTGAATTCCCTGAAGAGTTCAACTCATTACATTCAGTATCCAGTGAGAAAAGAAACATTTTAGGTTTTTCACAAAATGCCCCCAAAACTTCAACGTTTTCCACAGCCGGCATCATCGAAAAAGTCAGTTTTTGACCCAAAAATCTGACTTCACCAAATTTCCTCAAAAGTTCACACGAGATGCCTAGAGGCCAGAATTGAATTCCCTGAAGAGTTCAACTCATTACATTCAGAATCCAGTGAGAAAAGAAACATTTTAGATTTTTTACAAAATGCCCCCAAAACTTCAATGTTTTCCATAGCCGGCATCATCGAAAAAGTCAGTTTTTGACCCAAAAATCTGACTTCACCAAATTTCCTCAAAAGTTCACATGAGGTACCTAGAGGCCAGAATTGAATTCCCTGAAGAGTTCAACTCATTACATTCAGTATCCAGTGAGAAAAGAAACATTTTAGGTTTTTTACGAAATGCCCCCAAAACTTCAACGTTTTCCATAGCCGGCATCATCGAAAAAGTCAGTTTTTGACCCAAAAATCTGACTTCATCAAATTTCCTCAAAAGTTCATACGAGATGCCTAGAGGCCAGAATTGAATTCCCTGAAGAGTTCAAATCATTACATTAAGTATCCAGTGAGAAAAGAAACATTTTAGGTTTTTCACAAAATGCCCCCAAAACTTCAACGTTTTCCATAGCCGGCATCATCGAAAAAGTCAGTTTTTGACCCAAAAATCTGACGTCACCAAATTTCCTCAAAACTTCACACGAGATGCCTAGAGGCCAGAATTGAATTCCCTGAAGAGTTCAACTCATTACATTCAGAATCCAGTGAGAAAAGAAACATTTTAGATTTTTTACAAAATGCCCCCAAAACTTCAACGTTTTCCATAGCCGGCATCATCGAAAAAGTCAGTTTTTGACCCAAAAATCTGACTTCACCAAATTTCCTCAAAACTTCACACGAGATGCCTAGAGGCCAGAATTGAATTCCCTGAAGAGTTTAACTCATTACATTCAGAATCCAGTGAGAAAAGAAACATTTTAGATTTTTTACAAAATGCCCCCAAAACTTCAACGTTTTCCATAGCCGGCATCATCGAAAAAGTCAGTTTTTGACCCCAAAATCTGACTTCACCAAATTTCCTCAAAAGTTCATACGAGATGCCTAGAGGCCAGAATTGAATTCCCTGAAGAGTTCAACTCATTACATTCAGAATCCAGTGAGAAAAGAAACATTTTAGATTTTTTACAAAATGCCCCCAAAACTTCAACGTTTTCCATAGCCGGCATCATCGAAAAAGTCAGTTTTTGACCCAAAAATCTGACTTCACCAAATTTCCTCAAAAGTTCACACGAGATGCCTAGAGGCCAGAATTGA